TCCCAAACAGGAACACATATCTCAGCTGCTAAGACCAGTTGCAAGTGAATGAAATATTGTATGTTCACTCAGATCCAGAGAGGAATTTATTCCTTTTCAATCAAGATCTCCTCACTCCCTTGATTAGCCCTGCTGGTTGAAACTGGATGGTTGTAGGTTTCCTGTGCCTACTGTAAATGCATGGAACCTCTTTGCAGCATAAATTGCATGTTTGGGGGAGTGCAGCAGAGAGAAAATTGATACTGTCAAAGCTTTAAGCTTTGTTGACAGTAAAATAATACATTTTTTCTTAAATGCTTATTGTTATAATTTGACTTCCCCATCCATTTGTATTTATCATTTCTCAAAACTATGAATCATTTTTTATTTACTTACAAATATTAACTGCAATTAATGAGAGCTGTAAACAATACAAGAACCTTGGGAAGATCAGCAGCTTGTACACCCATGGTATAGGGAGATAGAATCCAATTTATTTAGATTCCAGAGAAGTTACCATGTTGGGAAGGTGGTTTGATTCAGTTGGTAGATCGTTACTGTGACATTTTCATTTATTTGTATTTATTTTTATTCTAAGAGTAATTTTCCACTCTGATCACATGGGATATAATAGTACACATAATATACTTATGCCACATTATAAGAGATGCAAGGGAGGTTTTCTGGCTTTCATAACTGAATTTTTAGCAACACGAGTTTGTACAGTTTTGTACATAATGGAATAATACACAGAAGTATTAGTTTAAATTGCTTTGCCTGAGAAAATGAATTAGATCTTTGGTTCATTTTTTTCCAGAAGTAATAGCAACTGGAAAGGAGGGAAATTGGAGGAGTATATAATCTGACAATGTAGTGAGATTTTCAGATTTTTATAATCAATCCAGAGATGGCATTGGATCATCCCTAGTACCATTTATTATTGTCTGTAGAATTTTTAAATAAAAAGGAATTTCTAAATGCTTTATAACTGCAGGATTGTTGAAAAGTTCATAAAACCTGGAAAGAGATAATGGCAAAAGATTAAATACTGCAACATTTAGTTTCATATTTTTGGAACGTGCAACATTATACAGTACAGTTTGTCCTTGACTTATGACCACAATGGAGCCCCAAATTTCTGTTGCTAAGCAAGACAGTTGTTAAGTACGTTGTGTCCCAGTTTGTGACCTTTTTTGCCAGAGTTGTTAAATTGCTGAAGTGAATCATATAGTTATTAAGTGGATCTGCTTTCCCCCATTGACTTTGCTTGTCAGAAGCTGGCTGGAAAGATTACCAATGGTGATCACATGACCCTGGGACAGGGCAGCCAGCATATAAATATATGCCAGTTAATCATGTGACTGGGAATGCTGAAATGTTCATAAGTGTGAAAACTGTTCATATGTCACTTTTTTCAGGGCTACTGTAACTGAAAGGTCACTAAATGAATGGCTGTAAGTCAAGGATTACCTGTATTACATTATGATACTTGAAAAGGTAATTAGCCCCTCGGTCTTTTCAAAACAATAACAATAAGAAAGTGAGGTGGAATAAATGTTAAAAATGATTGAAGAAGCTTTTATTAAGTGGGCTAAAAGGCAAAAGCAGGGGGAGTGTGGGGGGGGTCATGCACACATAATCCACCCTCTTCCCCTCCCCCCCCCACTTTTGCTGTGTGATGGCACGGTGGACCTGTTTTTTGCCCTCCCCAGGCTCCAGAGGCTTTCTAGGAACCTGGGGAGGGTGAAATCCCCCCCCCCTTGGCAAGGTCTTCTGGAGACAGGAAACAGACCGTTTTCCAACTTCCAGGTTGACCATAGAGCCGTTTTTCGCCCTCCGGAGGCTTCAGGGAAGCCTCCTGAAGCCTCTGGAGGGCGAAAAACAGCCCAACACGCAAACCGTAAATCCATTCCCGAACTTCCAGTTTGCACATTGGGTTGTTTCTCGCCCTCTGGATGGTGAAAACTGGCTGAAAATGAAGGCCGAAATCAGCTGACCAACGCGTGCTGGAGCTGACAGGGCAACACCCTGTGTGCCCTAAGAATTGACTATGCTGCCACCTGTGGCACATGTGCCATAAGTTTGCCATCACGGCAAAGTTAATAAAGGTTGGCTATTAGGTTGTATTTGTGTTACCAAGCATGATTTATTAACCATTTTAAATGATTCCCTTTGAAGCTCCATTGCTCATGTAATATGCCTATAGTATTTCAACAACACGTATCTTTAAAAGTTTTGATATGAAAGGAAAAATACACTTATCTTTTCCAACCGTACTGGACACAATAAACTCCTATTATACTGTTTGCTTAAGAACACTTATGCAGAACTTGGATGTACTCTGGATGTTTGTACTTCAACTCCCAGTGTTCACAGCAGGTGGCCTTGCTTTCTGAGGAGTTGAACTGTACTTGGGTAGGAAAGGCTGCTCAAAAACATAACTCTTCTTGTTAAGAATAAAAAAGTGATAGATCTTTTATCAATATTAATTTATTGACTGTTCAAAGTTAAGATGGCACTGAAAACTGTGACTTATGACCATTTTTCCCACAACTATTGCAGCCTCCCCTTGGTCACGTGATCAATATTCAGATGCGTGGCAACTGATTCATATTTATGACTGTTGAAGTGTCCTAGGGTCATGTGATCCCTTTTGCAAACTTCAAAAATGAAGTCAACGGGGAAGCCAGTTTCACTTAAAAACTGTATTACTAACTTAAAAACTGCAGTGGTTCACTTCACAATTGTGGCAAGGAAGGTCATAAAATGGGGCAATACTCAACAAACTTTTTGCTCACTTAGCAACAAAAATGTGTGCTCAATTGTCATAAATCGAGGACTAACTATACATCAATAATAATAAACTATTTCTGTGAAATATTGCATATTATATGTATATATGGGGGGAATTTTAGTCATAGACGTCTTGCATGGATACAGTCATGCTGCTAGGAAAAAAATCTATTTGCTTGTTCTCTTTTCCATCATATTTATCTGGTGACCCACCAACAAGCTAATCCTTTTCTGCAGTATGATGAGAAATGCCCTTGAAGCTTAGTTGTTTGCTTCTTCTTGGGCTGCTGAATCTTTGTTTTACGTAAGATGTTTTGGAAGACTTGGTTTAAGTGCTACAGTGATGCCGTGTGGTTCACTGTAGTTCACCCATGTGTTTTTGTTGATGTATTTTCTGATCATGTAAATTTTTATATGTACTAAGCTTTTGAGCAAATTAATTGACTTGAACATGGCAGCGTCTTTGTTAACAAAATATTATCTTGACCAGTGGTGGGTTCCGGATCCTGGTGCAATTGGTACGGTGCAACAGGGCCCTGGCGTTCACCACATGCACATGTGCAGCACGTGCACGCGTGCAGCACATGCATGCATGCAGCACATGCATGCATACTTACCACCAGTGACGCTCCAGCTGCTCGGGGGAGCGTCACGCAGGCGCTGTATGCTCCATGCGCTGAAACCCTGGTCGGCTCAAATACAGGTGCGGGCGGGTGGGCTTTCCAGAGCACTGGGATGGTACCGGAACGCTACCTGGTGCTCACAGCAGGCACCGGTACACCCATACCTTGGCGTACCAGTCATATCCCACCACTGATCTTGACCAAGTAGAGCGTTCATTAGTGTTTAGGGAACTGCTGAATTTGAAGTAACAGTGGTAGATAACAGGGCAGTATGTGCAGTATTGGTTGAAGATTTGTACTTTGAATTGTTGAAAAGCAAGATATAAATTACAGAAATACTGTGCATTTTTCGGCAAAGGTTTTCCTGAGCCACTCTGGGTACATTTTTTTGCTCACATTCACCATCACCCTTTCCTTTATATTTCTTTCAGTTTAATAATGTCATATATACTTATTTTCTGTTGGTATCCAGTATCTTCCCTTTTTCAAGGAGTACTTTTCCAACTGGTTGTACTGGGATTGCAATTTTCAGTAAAACCAGGTACTAACCTAGCTCAGGCGAGAGCTAAGGAGGTCAAGTAGTTCAAAACAGGTATGCACACCATATCTGTTGCTGCTCTTTAAAGAAACTGCATCTTTGGATTCACATACATTTGACCTAAGGAGGTACTGAGAAGAGTGTTCCAATATCTGTTCCAGAACCCTTTATCACTTTTAGTACTTCTTTGAAAGTTCATTTGTACTGTATTAGCAAGAAAATATGTAAGTGATACATTGGGATTATCATAGAAGGCCAAACTCTGGCTAACATAACAAATTGTACATCTAGTAAATAGTGAGGGCATGTGTTGAACTGGAACTCCATCTGGCTGCAGTTTCTTTAATAATTTACATTCCTAGAGCATATTGACATATTAATGCTTATGTAGTATAGGTTTTAAAAAATAATAAGCAAACAGCAACTGTGCTATCTTAGAGAATAAATATTTATTCTAACAGAGAAGATTCTAAAATTGTTACACTTGTAACCAATTTTTTGCACAATTAGAAAACAATCCTTGCCTGAAAAAAATATTGGGGATGTATCATTATTCTTTCAGGAATCAAACATATATAGTCATTAAAACTTACGGTTTAGTTTATAATTAAGATTGTCCAGCTTAGAACACATTTTATAGACTAAATTGGGGCTGCATGTAAAGGTGATGAATGAATTCACCTAAGTTTATACTGCTTTGTATTGTAATGTTCATCTTATCTTCTCTCTCTGCATTTCATTCTATCTTATACTATTTTATCTCACTCTTTTTTTCTTAATCATACCTTACCATATTTTATTTTACCTTAGTTTAATTTATCTTATTTTACTATCTTGCCTTATTTCATCTTAGTGAATCTTATTGTGGATGATGCCCATTGCTTTGCTATAGTCAATTAACTAATTTGTGAAGTTATACCACTATATTGTTTTAATAATAATATGCAGCTAAACAATTAATTTTTGTGATTTTATTTTAATCAGAATCAATTTCCTGAAGTAATGCCTTACTTTTTAATTCTGAGATACTCATCAGTTGTGAATATATTCATTTTTTTAATGCACAGAGCGAAGATAGTCCAAGTCCCAAGAGACAGCGCCTTTCTCATTCAGTCTTTGACTACGCAGCAGCATCACCAGCCTCATCACCACCAATGCGACCATGGGAGATGACATCAAATAGGCAGCCTCCTTCAGCTCGACCAAGCCAACATCACTTCTCAGGGGAACGATGCAACACACCTGCGCGCAACAGAAGGAGGTCAGCTTTCCTGAGGGACAGTCATAGTCTTGATTTAGAAAGTAGTGTTTGATGCATCAAATTTATTAGTTTTAGGTTAATGTATAAGAAACTAATCACTCCAGAATTTAAAGCTATGGAGTCTTAATTTTATGAACCTCATGAAGCCTATGCCAGAAACATGGAATTTTGTATCACAGAGGTGAACTTTATCCTACAGTTTTAAATAGTTTTCTGTACAGGTTTATTGAAGAGATGCTTCTAATATTAGTTAATCCTAATATTTGATTGTCCAAAATATTTAGTTGTTAGCTTATATATTGTTGTTCTACTGTTCTAGTACATCTTTATCCAAAGATATCAGAATTGACGTCCAAGTGTTAACCTTCTTGTTTCTCCTCTATTATTTTGTCATAATTGTGAGGGAGGTTTAGCTGAGAAAATGTAAGTAGGCTAAGGTCAGTGAGCCATGACATTTGTTTTGAAATTATTGTAAAAAATTGTAATAAAACTCTGAAGTCAGATTATCAATCAATATTTGCTACATAGTTGATATTCTTATTGGAACTTATTAGTTACCAAAAATAAGATATTTTGGTATCTTATATTTTTCTTTAAGTTTCTATTACCTGCTTCTTCCAGGGAACATAAGATACAACATATATTATGTTTTCTTACCACAATCTAATGAGGTAATTTGGGCTAAATATTAAAAGATTTTTCCAAAAATAGCATATGAATGAGGAATTGAATGTAGAACTATATTATTGAGCTGTGTCATTATTTAATATGCAACATCATGATTTGCTAGATTCAATTCACTTAATTTATTTCATTCTTAACTTTTTGCCTCCATCATATCTGCTTACCTTGAACTTAATCGGTTGCTTGTTTTTTCTAAAGTTTTCTCAGAAAAGTTCCCACAAGTTATTTGTTACAAATCTCCAGTGTTGCATAAATTAATTCAGAAGTTTTGGATATTTTCATATTAGTAATAAGTTTGTATTCCTCTTTCCATATTGTTTTTCCTCTTCAATTCAATCACACCGTAGAAACCAAAGATTTTGTAAGAATCTATAATGTATTTGTACTGTAGAGTGTAAAGAAGATAACTGCATTACTCAGTACTCAAATGGCTTGCCAACTGGCAATATTCATCACAGAACCAGTTGTCTGGCCTCTGACCCATCTGCTAAGTTCAGCTTGACCTTCACTCTTGCTACTAAGTTATCTGAGAAGAAAAGGACCATCTGGCAACTTTGATCTGATTATTCTGATTATGTTATGTTACTTTTGCCCCAGAAGAAAATACAAATGCAGATTTTTGTGATCAGAGAAATACAGGAATAAAAGTATATATTCATAGTATATAGCTAGTTTAAAAGTAGAAATTACCATAGCTGTTCAAAATATAAAACTTGTCCCATTTGATTATTTATAGCCCTCCTGTTAGACGCCAGAGAGCAAGAAGAGATCGACTGTCTCGACATAATTCCATTAGTCAAGATGAAAACTACCATCTTCCTTATGGACAGCAACAAGCAATAGAAGAACCACGAGCCTTTCACCCACCAAATGTGTCTCCCCGTATGTTGCACCCAGCTGCTCATCCGCCACAGCAGAATGCAGTCATGGTTGACATCCATGAACAGGTATGGGAAAAGATAGAAAAATAGTCTCCAAGTTTCTTATGACTAACACTTTTTAAATTGTTAATGTTTTCAATTACCTGGGTATATTCGGAGGACTCGTCCCCTGTCATTCTGTATGAATCATTCTTGTTTGTGCCGCTGTCTGTTCTGAACAACTGTGTGTCTGCATTAATAGAACCTGATTTAACAAGGTAGTCACACTTAAGTGAACTCTGTTTGGAAGGCCAGAACTTTGCCTTATTTCTCTAGGAATGCAATGGTCTTTCTTTGATTTCAAATGAATTTTCATAATTTATACTGCAGCATGGTACAGTGTAGGAATTACTAGCGGATGCTCTGAAAATACCAAATTTTCTAAAAAGAAGGAGAAATTAATCCATATTAAATGGTTAAATTATATTTAGACATTCCTTTTAACTATTCAGATAGCAGAAAAAGCAATAGGAATTGCTCAGTGTCCTCTTTTGTTACATTGTGATAGATTAACATATTATTATCGTACAACTTGATGCGTTATGTCTCAAGAATGACATACCAGTCATACTTCTGTAATCACGAAGGTCTTCTCAAAGAAATCCTGCTTATACTTAAAAGCTGCAATAGAGTACAGTGTAGAGTATTGCAGCTTTCATGTGGATGGACTGGGCTGCCAGAAGGCATATTGATGTTCATATGCAGCAGTAACTATTTTTAGTTTGCATACACAATACAACATGATATTTAGATCTGGACTGAAAGTGCTTAGATGTGAGTTAGCCAGAAGGTTGATTAGGGTCTATTACTTAATCTTTGATCTGCCAGTGAATCAACAAGGATTTCAGTGCCACAATTATACAAGAAATAATGACAATTGGCTGAATGTTCCTAATGTTGGTATGTGAGTTGTACACTTCAACTATTTCAAATAATTGAAACAAAGGAAGAATAATGTCTTTCTATTCTTTTCTGTTACTAAATTGTTTCTGTCCTTTTGCATATAGTACAGTAGTCCTCAACTTAAAACATAATAGGGATCAGAATTTCTGTTGCTAAAGAAGTCAGCAGTTTAATGAGTCGTGTCTGATTTTCTAACCTTTTTTGCTATGGTTATTAAATAAATCACTGCAGTTGTTAAGTGAATCATGGTTGTTAAGCAAATCCACCTTCCTCCATTGACTTTGCTTGGCATAAGTTGGCTGCAAATGATAATGGGTTTGCCTTATGACCATCACATTCGCTTAACAACTACTGCAAAAAAAAAAAGATTCTAAAATCAGACAGAGTTACCTAATTACCGTATTTTCACCCATATAACCCGCGGGTTATATGCATTTTTTGCATGCACAGCGCCCCCCTGCGGGTTATATGCGTGGGCGGGGTATACGGAAGATATTTTACACGATCGGAGGCTTGCACAGGCTTCTTTCTCCGTTTCTTCCCCCACCCCGATGTCAGCTGTTTCCTTCTCCTCCGTTCCTTTCCTCTTCCCCAGCTTGCGCAGGCTTCTTTCTCCGTTTCTTCCCCCACCCCGATGTCAGCTGTTTCCTTCT